GGCGTGCACCCGGAATGCAGGGACACAATTGAAGCCGCCAAACGACCATTGGCTGGGCGGTTAATGGTTAAAAAGTTGATTGGAGAGGGGAAAACATATAAAGAAGTGCAGAAAATGATAGGCTGCTCAGCTAAAATGATTGCAAATGCTTTAAAAAAATGGCAACCAAAACCTGAAAGACGTGGAAGAAAGCGAAAAACTACCATTCGAATGGATAGAAGAATAGCCAAAATGGCAAGGACTCAGTCAACAATCAGCTCCAGGAAGATCAAAGAAGGTCTAAAGTTACCTGTGAGTACTGTTACAATTAGAAGACGCCTATGTGAAGCCAAACTATCTGCAAGAAGCCCCCGCAAAGTCCCACTGTTGAAAAAAACACATGTGCTGAAGAGGTTACAATTTGCCAAAGAGCATATTGACTGGCCTAAAGAGAAATGGTGCAACATTTTGTGGACTGATGAAAGTAAGATTGTTTTTTTTTGGGTCTAGTGGCCGGAGACAGTTTGTCAGATGACCCCCCAAACACTGAATTCAAGCCAGAGTACACTGTGAAGACAGCGAAGCATGGTTGTTTCTCATACTACGGTGTTGGGCCTATTTATCGCATACCAGGTATCATGGATCAGTTTGAATACATCAGAATACTTGAAGAGGTCATGCTGCCTTATGCTGAAGAGGAAATGCCCTTGAAATGGGTGTTCCAACAAGACAACGACCCAAAACACACCAGTAACATCTTGGTTCCAGACCAACAAGATTGACGTTATGGAGTGGCCAGCCTAATTCCCGGATCTTAATCCAATAGAAAACTTGTGGGGTGACATCAAAAAACACAGTTTCTGAGGCAAAACCAAGAAATAGAGAAGAACTGTGGAATGTAGTCCAATCACCCTGGGCTGGAATACCTGTTCACAGGTGCCAGAAGTTGGTTGACTCCATGCAACGCAGATGTACAGCAGTTCTCAGAAACAGTGCTTATACAACTAAATATTAATTAAGTGTTTCAAAGGAAAGCAAAAGCTTCAAACATTTTTCAGTTTATTTAGTGAGTGTTTGAGTTTGTAAAGAAGAATACAAACACTGCTATTTTTTTGAACAGTCTAATATTCACTTTTCTTCAATTTGTTTAGAGGAACAACACAAATTTGATATATTTTTCTTCATATTTGGATTTGGAATAGAATGTGTAGTGTTCCCAATGCATTTGTGTGTATGGAAATAAAAGCTATTAGAAGGATTTTGGGCTTTATTCACTTTTTTCAACACACTGCTATTATTTTGAACACAACTGTATCTGGGTTTGAAGGTTGCCAGGAGAACGGTAACTTGCCTGACTGTATTGTGCCAAGTGTAAAGTTTGGTCGAGTGGGGATTATGGTGTGGGGTTGTTTTTCAGGGAACTCTTAAGGAATCAGAATACCAAGACATTTTGGACAATTTCACGCTCCCAACTTTGTGGGAACAGTTTGAGGATGGAGGAACTTGACTGACATGCACAGAGTCCTGACCTCAACCGGACAGAACACCTTTGGGATGAATTAGAGCGGAGACTGTGAGCCAGGCCTTCTCGTCAGACATCAGTGCCTGACCTCACAAATGCGCTTCTGGAAGAATGGTCAAACATTCCCATAGACACACTCCTAAACCTTGCAGACAGCCTTCCCAAAAGAGTTGAAACTGTTATAGCTGCAAAGGTTGGGACGACTCAATATTGAACCCTACAGACTAAGACTGGGATGCCATTAAAGTGCATGTGTTTTTAAAGGCAGATGTCCCAATACTCTTGGTAATATAGTGTATGTACGAAAGGGAACCAGAGAGCAGTCTCTTTTTTGCACACAAATCCTCCTTATGCAGCAGGTACCAGGAAACCACTTACAAATTAGTGACTCGCTGGTATAGAACTCCATCCGTCCTTGCCAAACTGTTTCCTAATTGTCGTAAACCCCTTTAAATAAACAAAATGAAAAAAAAAAAAAAAATGGAGGGTCCTGTGTCCTGTACTTTACTCCAAGAAACAGGATTTTACATATAAGTCAAAAATCCTGTTTTCTGAAAGCCCAAAATCAATGCAAAGCAAGGGTTGGGAGACACAGCAAACCAAACACCAACAACCCCCAAATATCCAAGGGTGAAGAACGCCAACTTTAGAAAGCAGCCTGGTGCACTTTGCAACCAAAGCCAAGGTTAGCAGAGACCTGAACATTCAACAACAAAAATTTAGCAAACGTGAACAGAAGACTAGGTGGTGGCCTTGCAAGTCTGTGAAACCAATGCCCAATGGTGAAATACCCAAGAGGCAGCTACTGATCTGTTGGATTCTGCTTTGATGGAAAAGGGCATCAGAGCATAGCTAAGTGAGGAACCTCCTTCACAAAGGCCTTCACCAGGGAGTGAGAGGCCAGTGGTTAGTGACCGAGGGTAGCTAAGGACAACATTTGTCCTTTGATAGCGCTCAAGGTCAAATGCTGATCCAGTCCCAACTGAAGAAATGTTGAGACATGACGCAGTATTTTCTAGGATGAAGGTTCCTCGGCTCACACCAAGCTATGCAAGCTTTCCAGGTGTGATTGCAAATATCTGAGAAGCTGACTGCCTAGCAGAGAGAAGCACAAGAATAACCAAATGTGATATACCCCTATTCCTCAGGACTTGGACTTTAGCAGCCAACCCATCAAAGCCAGTAACTAAGAAACAAAATGGAGTACTGATCCATGAGACAGAAGGTCTGGGTGGGCCTGGAAGTTGGGCACAGGGTGTCTGACAGGAGCCAGAGCATGTCCAAATATCAGACTCTTCTGAGTCGATTGGTGCCATGAGAATCACTGGAATGCTCTCCCACCTTGATCAGGCAAAGCAGTTGAGGTAGCATCTTACCTGGAGGAACCGCATACATCAAGAACAACAGATCCCACAGTCAGCATTGCATCCACAGTAGGCACGAGGATCCCTGGACTTGGCAACAAACCTGGACTTTAGAAGGACCACATCTGGCAGCCCACATCTGCAACAGAGATCTTGAAACACCAAGGGGTGAAATGACCGCCCAGGTTCAGTCCCTAACTGTTAGGAATGGACTGGCCAGCAATGGTGGGACTCACCTGCCTTTTTGATCTGCAGTACCAGGGCTGGCCAGCGGGTGTTCCCTGCAATCAGAGACTCAACTTTGCAGCCAGCTAACACCTGTAACTGATGATGCTGGGGTATTTAAGGGATGGCCAGACCCACAGACTCTGCCTTGGTGTTGTGTTTCTCTTGGCCCTGTATCCTGTTCCTGCTCTCTGTTCCTGTCTGATTCTCTGCTACCTGTCCTGATCCCTGGCTTGTGACCCTGACCATCTCTCTGCTTGACCCTCTGTACTACGCTGCTTGCTACCTGCTGAACCTGGCCTGTGACCCCGACCATTCTCTGCTTGCTCCCCCTGTACCTACCTGCCCTATTGATATTGACCCGGCCCTGCCTGACGACGCTTGCTTGTATATACTGTTATCTGTGGGTGGTTGGTTTGGTTTGGTTTTCACTGTGTTATGTTTAGAGTATTTGCACTGCGTTTATGTTTGTATTGTTAGTGTTAATAAATTGTATTGTTTATCACATATCTGAAAGTCTGCGTTTCCCTGCATCAGTCACACACCTCTGGTCATACCTGGGAGCCCTGACATTACACCAAGGCCAATCCCTGACCAGAAGTGGCTGCACAGGGAAGCCATCTTGGCTTGTTGATGGGAAGGATGGATCTTGATGAGGTTGAGTATTTATATCTGCTAGTGTTTGATGACAGGGAGTATGCTTATCAAACTCTGAAGGAGTATACCCGGGATGAATTGCTAGAATGTATACGGCTCGCTCATGTTCTAGTAGATCAGGGCACAGTGTTCTCTGAGGTGCAGCCATTGATTGAGGTTTGTGCAGAGTTGGTTTCATCTGGTTCCCCCGAATGCAGGGATGAATTTTTGCCACCATTTAGTGCAGACCAGGTAGAGTCCCTGGTGTGGTTATTAGAGGATGATGTGGGTTACTTTCTGGAGCGTTATTCCACATGTTCACCACTGACACTGCGAGATTGTATAAACGCAGTGCAGTCATTGACCAGACAGGCTTTGTGTAAGCTCAGCTTTGTTCAACCCCTACTGCAGACATGGACAGACTTGTTGCACCCAGCCTCAGTCAGCTTACAAAGACCCAGTCCTGCTTCTAACTCTACTCCTGTATTCCCACCAGCTCCTCCAGATTACAGCCCAGTATACTTGGCTATCTACCGCATGTCAGTGTACCCTGTTCCCACTCGCTGCACCCATCCTGCCTTTAATCCTGTAAAAAAGCCCTCTGTAGCAACTGCTCCCTCTCCTGTTCCATCCTCCAGTTCTTCTCTGTCTCCAGCTGCTCCATTCGTTTGCAGACCTGCGTTTACTTGCAGTGCTCCAGTAGTTAAAACCAGAAAAAAGCGAAAATTCTTTCCAACCAATACCATCCTGCCAGTATCCAAACCGGTGAGCCTGCCTTCCGTGGTTCAGACTGAAGCCTCTACTTGGCCTGAAGCCTCTACGCGGCCTGAAGCCTCTACGCGGCCTGAAGCCTCTCCTCGCCTGAAGCCTCTACGCGGCCTGAAGCCTCTCCTCGGCCTGAAGCCTCTACGCGGCCTGAAGCCTCTCCTCGGCCTGAAGCCCCTACTCGGCCTGATGCCTGTACTCTGCCTGATGCCTCTACTCTCGGCCTGAAGCCTCTACTCGGCCTGAAGCCTCTTACTCGGCCTGAAGCCTCCTCAGCCTGAAGCCTCTACCGCGCCTGAAGCCTCTACTCGGCCTGATGCCTGTACTCGGCCTGATGCCTGTACTCGGCCTGATGCCTGTACTCGGCCTGATGCCTCTCTTCAGCCTGAAGCCTCTACTCGGCCTGATGCCTCTACTCGGCCTGATGCCTCTACTCGGCCTGAAGCCTCTACTCGGCCTAATGCCTCTACCCAGCATGATGAACTGATCCAGCCTGACGATCCTATTAGGCCAGTTGACTCGATGCCCGCTGTTGATCCAGATGATTACCGGTACCTGATCCGGGTGCCCGCTGTCGTGCCAATTGACTCAGAGCCCGCTGTCGTACCTGGTGACTCGGTGCCCACTGCCTTGCCAGATGACGCGGTGCCCGCTGGCAAGCCAAATGACCTGATGCCTGGTGTGACCTAGTGTCCGCTGTCATACCTGATGACCCGATGCCCGCTGTCGAGCCAGACAATCCGGTACCTGATGACCCGGTGCCCACTGTCGTGCCTGTTGACTCGGAGACCACTGCCTTGCCAGATGACGCTGGTGCCCGCTGTCGAGCCAAATGACCTGATGCCTGGTGACCCGAATTGCCCGCTGTCCAGCCAGACGATTCAATGTCTGCCCCGGTGCCCGCGGTCATGCCAGTTGACTCGGGAGCCCACTGCCTTGCCAGATGACTCGCGGTGCTCGCGCTGTCGAGCCAAATGACTTGATGCCTGGTGACCCGAATGCCCGCTGTCTCAGTCAGACGACCGATCCAATGTCTGACCCAGTGCCCCGCGGGTCATACCAGTTGACTCGGAGCCCACTGCCTTGCCAGATGACGCGGTGCCCGCGGTCGAGCCAAATGACCTGATGCCTGGTGACCCGATGCCCGCTGTCCAGCCAGACGATTCAATGTCTGCCCCGGTGCCCGCGGTCATGCCAGTTGACTCGGAGCCCACGGCCTTGCCAGATGACGCGGTGCCCGCGGTTCGAGCCAAATGACCTGATGCCTGGTGACCCGATGCCCGCTGTCGCCGGGTCAGACGATCCAATGTCTGACCCAGTGCCCGCGGTCATACCAGTTGACTCGGAGCCCACTGCCTTGCCAGATGACGCGGTGCTCGCTGTCGAGCCAAATGACTTGATGCCTGGTGACCCGATGCCCGCTGTCCAGTCAGACTCGATCCAATGTCTGACCCAGTGCCCGCGGTCATACCCCAGTTGACTCGGAGCCCACTGCCTTGCCAGATGACGCGGTGCCCGCGGTCGAGCCAAATGACCTGATGCCTGGTGACCCGATGCCCGCTGTCCAGCCAGACGATTCAATGTCTGCCCCGGTGCCGCCCGCGGTCATGCCAGTTGACTCGGAGCCCACGGCCTTGCCAGATGACGCGGTGCCCGCTGGCAAGCCAAATGACCTGATGCCTGGTGACCTAGTGTCCGCTGTCATACCTGATGACCCGATGCCCGCTGTCGAGCCAGACAATCCGGTACCTGATGACCCCCCGTTGTGCCCCGCCCACTGTCGTGCCTGTTGACTCGATTGAGACCACTGCCTTGCCAGATGACGCGGTGCCCGCTGTCGAGCCAAATGACCTGATGCCTGGTGACCCGATGCCCGCTGTCCAGCCAGACGATTCAATGTCTGCCCCGGTGCCCGCGCGGTGTCATGCCAGTTGACTCGGAGCCCACTGCCTTGCCAGATGACGCGGTGCTCGCTGTCGAGCCAAATGACTTGATGCCTGGTGACCCGATGCCCGCTGTCCAGTCAGACGATCCAATGTCTGACCCAGTTCATCGCCCGCGGTCATACCAGTTGACTCGGAGCCCACTGCCTTGCCAGATGACGCGGTGCCCTCTGCTGTCGAGCCAAATGACCTGATGCCTGGTGACCCGATGCCCGCTGTTCCAGCCAGACGATTCAATGTCTGCCCCGGTGCCCGCGGTCATGCCAGTTGACTCGGAGCCCACGGCCTTGCCAGATGAACGCGTGTGCCCTGCGGTCGAGCCAAATGACCTGATGCCTGGTGACCCGATGCCCGCTGTCCGGTCAGACGATCCAATGTCTGACCCAGTGCCCGGGTCATACCAGTTGACTCGGAGCCCACTGCCTTGCCAGATGACGCGGTGCCCGCTGTCGAGCCAAATGACCTGATGCCTGGTGACCCGATGCCCGCTGTCCAGCCAGACCATCCAATGTCTGACCCAGTGCCTGCGGTCATACCAGTTGACTCGGAGCCCACTGTCGTGCCTGGTGTCCGCGTACGGTGCCCGCCGCTCCGCCTGGGGGCCCGAGACCTGTCGCTCCTCCTGGGGGTCCGGCGCCCCGCCGCTCCGCCTGAGGGCCCGAGACCAGATCGCTCCACCAAATGGGGGTACGGCAGCCCGCCGCTCCGCCTGAGGGCCCGAGACCCTGTCGCTCCATCTGGGGGTCCGGCGCCCGCCGCGCTCCGCCTGAGGGGCCCGAGACCTGTCGCTCCTCCTGGGGGTCCGGCGCCCGCCGCTCCGCCTGAGGGCCCGAGACCTGTCGCTCCGCCTGGGGGTCCGGCGCCTGCCGCTCCGCCTGAGGGCCCGAGACCTGTCGCTCCACCTGGGGGTCCCGGCGCCCGCCGCTCCGCCTGAGGGCCCGAGAGACCTGTCGCTCCTCCTGGGGGTCCGGCGCCCGCCGCTCCGCCTGAGGGGCCCGAGACCTGTCGCTCCGCCTGGGGGTCCGGCGCCTGCCGCTCCGCCTGAGGGCTCGAGACCTGTCGCTCCGCCGGGGGCGTCCGGAGCCCGCCGCTCCGCCTGAGGGCCCGAGACCTGTCGCTCCTTCTGGAGGTCCGGCGCCCGTCGCTCCGCCTGAGGGCCCCGAGAACCTGTCGCTCCCCCTGGGGGTCCGGCGCCCCGCTCCGCCGGCTCGCCGGGGGGTCCGGCTGCCTGCCTGACGCCCCGCCTGGGGGCACGATGCCTGTCGCCCCCGCCTGGGGTGGCACGATGCCTGTCGCCCCCGCCTGGGGGCACGATGCCTGTCGCCCCGCCTGGGGGTCACGATGCCTGTCGCCCCTCCTGGGGGCCCGATGCCTGTCGCCCCTCCTGGGGGCCCGATGCCTGTCGCCCCTCCTGGGGGGGCCCGATGCCTGTCGCCCCGCCTGGGGGCCCGATGCCTGTCGCCCCGCCGCCTGGGGGGCCCGATGCCTGTCGCCCCGCCCGTGGGGGTCCGATGCCTGTTCCCCCGCCTGGGGGCCCGGGTGCCTGCCGCCCCGCCCGGGGGCCCGGTGCCTGCCGCTCCGCCCGGGGGCCCGGTGCCCTGCTGCTCCCGCCCGGGGGCCCGGTGCCTGCTGCTCCGCCCGGGGGCCCGGTGCCTGCTGCTCCGCCCGGGGGGCCCGGTGCCTGCTGCTCCGCCCGGGGGCCTTCTTCCGCTCCGTGCCGCTGTAGCCCCGCCCGGGGGCCCCGGTGCCTGCTGATCCGGCCCGGGGGCCCGGTGCCTGCTGCTCCGCCGCCTGCTGGTGGCCCGCTGCCTGCTGCTTCGCCTGGTAATCCGATGTGCCTCTGCCCGGAGTCCTGCCCGATGTGCCTCTGCCCGGAGTCCTGCCCGATGTGCCTCTGCCCGGGAGTCCCTGCCCGATGTGCCTCTGCCCGGAGTATCCCTGCCCGATGTGCCTCTGCCCGGAGTCCTGCCCGATGTGCCTCTGCCCGAGTCCTGCCCGGTGTGCCTCTGCCCGGTGTGCCTCTGCTCGATGTGCCTCTGCCCGGAGTCCAGCCCGGTGTGCCGCTGCCCGGAGTCCTGCCTGGTGTGCCAGTCTTTGATATCCCGCCAGTTGCCAGACCCGGGCGGTGGAACATTTTTGCCCCAGCTAGGACTGTTGGAGCGTCCTGAGGCCGCTCCTTGAGGGGGGGTACTGTTAGGAATGGACTGGGCCAGCAATGGTGGGACTCACCTGCCTTTTGATCTGCAGTACCAGGGCTGGCCAGCGGGTGTTCCCTGCAATCAGAGACTCAACTTTGCAGCCAGCTAACACCTGTAACTGATGATGCTGAGGGGTATTTAAGGGATGGCCAGACCCACAGACTCTGCCTTGGTGTTGTGTTTCTCTTGGCCCTGTATCCTGTTCCTGCTCTCTGTTCCTGTCTGATTCTCTGCTACCTGTCCTGATCCTGGCTTGTGACCCTGACCATCTCTCTGCTTGACCCTCTGTACTACGCTGCTTGGCTACCTGCTGAACCTGGCCTGTGACCCCGACCATTCTCTGCTTGCTCCCCCTGTACCTACCTGCCCTATTGATATTGACCCGGCCTGCCTGACGACGCTTGCTTGTATATACTGTTATCTGTGGGTGGTTGGTTTGGTTGGTTGCACTGTGTTATGTTTTAGTATTGCACTGCGTTTATGTTTGTATTGTTAGTGTTAATAAATTGTATTGTTTGACTTCTGGTGCTGGCTGCCTTGGTGGTTGATGTAGGCCATGCTCATGGCATTGTCAGACTGTACCTTTATCAGGACCCCCGGAGCTGAGGAGTTATTGAGCTGCAGCAGCTTTGGAGTAAAACTGGGCATAAGGCATGGCCATGAAAGAAGCTACCACCAGGTCCTGTACTCTCATGCAAAACAAACTGAGGGGAAGTTTCTGGACTGAAAAATTCACACTTGAGATACAAGGAATAGGATCTTTCCCATAGGAAGAGAGACTCAGGCCTAGCTCATATCCAGGACCAATCCAAGGTAGTAAATCAGATCCAGTTTATACTTCTGAAATCTACTTCGATTCCTGCAATGCCTGCACTGTCATCTTGGACCCACAGAACCGGGATGCCACAAAGGCCGACCAATGTCCCTCCACTTGCAGAAGTGGGTGTGTCCCATCACTGAGAAGAGGGTTTGAGGCCAAACGCGATCAGCTTAGAAGACCATGGCTTGCAGAAAAATGGAGTGTCTGATAGCTTGGATCCGACTAAGATACCTTGAGGGTACGAAAATAATTCTCCAAAACTGGGAAGACAAAGGCCTACTCACAGGGACCTTCACCTTCTTTTTTCTAGGCAGAAGCATGCCATTGCCACCTGTAACTTCATTAGATGAAGAAGTCCAGATGCTCTCAGGTGCTCCCCAAGGGGCATCCTTTCCAGGAGTTTCTTGCACGCCAGCTCCACCTGAGTCATAGGACCCTGCACAACTGAATGGATTGGCCACCTACCTTGGACATTTGTTGCAAGGTATTCTTTTTAAACAGTCCTCACAATACTGAAAAGCAAGGAAGTAGTTGCAAATGCTGTAAAACAGCAGGGTCTATGAGAATAGAGCCCAGATTCCGTCCCATATGCCTGAATCAAAATGCAAGGGTTTCACAACCTTCTATGACAACAGCGAGCTGTAGGGCAGAACCTATGAGTCCAAATGAAACTTTAAAATGAGATTCCAGTCTCATGTCCATCTGGTCTTAAAAGAGCAGGATGTCCCCAACCAGGACCACAAGGGACTTATTAAGGTCAATGGTGGGAACTATGAAAGGAGCAGCCCATTTTTTGCAAAACCCTTCCTCTATCACGTATTGCTGAGCAAAGTTCTTAAAGGAAGCTACACCTTTTCAAGGTGAATCCAGTCATGGTATAATACAACCCCCTAATAGAATGCATAGGAAAGGCTTTTGGGGGCTTTTTTTAGAAACCATACTGGTAACTTGTGGCTGCATTGACACTTGCACATCCAGCTTTAAGCAAGTACACACCTCATCCACCAGAGTTGAGATTGTGTCTCTGAGCTTGGTAGAGAGAGCTGTAGACTTCTCCATCACAGAATCTTCAGATTTCTAAAAGGACTTACCTCCTGTGTATTAATTTCCAGTCTCCTCTCTGCTTAAACTGAAAGAATGGGAGGCACACAAGGGAGCTAAGGAAGAGTCCAAGCAAGG